CAGGTAGTATACGATTAGTCAGGCAGCAGGGTCGCTGATGGCAGTTCCCTTGGTTCCGTTACTTACCTGATGTAAGTCTTCGTTGCCGGGTGGAAGATGCCTTGCTGATGTGGCTGAGTTAGCTTCACCGATGAAAGATGGCGGGCCTTTTGGATTGGGAAAGCCCGATAGCAGGCTGAAGGGGCCTTGTCTGAAGGTGGGTTGCTTCTCCCTCCGAGTACTGCTGCCTCCTTCGGATCCTGGGCTGCCTGCGGAGACGGGGCGCGTGGGATGAGCGAGTGATGTCGGAGACGTCTCTTCCAGGCGTGGCGCGATGGCGGGTCTTGCCGCCTTGATTCGAACCTGGCGAGGGCAAAAACGCGCTGGCGAATTCGCGCGGGAGATTTCCCGTGGCGAGCTTCAGGCGGGAAAGCGGCTTGGGACGCGCGGGTGAAACTGTGGTGGGTGGGCGTCGGCCCAGCGGCCTGGTTCGGGCGCTAGCGCGCTTACCAGCGGCGCAGACGTCATTTCTCTGATGTTTTTGTCCCCATTTGGTTTCTGATTTAGAGAGTGAGATGCTTTCACCTCCCTCATTTTTTATCAGTGTGTTGCCAAAAAGGGGTTGTTTGAGGACTTCGTCTTTCCTTTTGGGGCCTGTACTATTCTCTGGGAAGATGATTCTCCCGATGTGTAAGATTTGTTCCCATAAGGATTTTGTCTGAGTTGCGTCGTTGGAGTTGACTTGCTCTGCCAGGTTGAGCTGTCTCTGTTTCCCTTTCAGGAGTGGCCATTGTTTATTGAAAACCCAGAAGAGGCCTGGCATATTAGTAGGAGATTTGAAGGGTGCAATTCCTCTGATATGGCTAAGAGCTAGTGGCATCCAATGAAGATTGTTGTCAAGGGTTAGTCTTAGGATCCACTTGATTTGAAGGGCTTGAATTTGGCGGGCGGGGTCTATGAGGCCTAGGCCTCCTTTGCTTTTTGGGCTAGTAATTATCTGACAGGCTACCTTGTGAATGAATTGTTGTTTATCTGGGTTGCCTGTCCAAAGGAAAGCTGCTGTTTTTTTCCTCAGCTGGTTATGGAAATCGGTCGAGGACTCGAGGGGAACCAAGTGGAGGTGGCATACCACATCATGGCTAGTATTGAGTTGTTGAGGGCCAGAACTCTACCTAGGAGAGAAGTGTGTATGGGCTTCCAGGTGTCCAATCTGTTGATCATTGCACATAGTAGGGACGCTGCCGATGTTTGGTGACAACTTTTTAGACTAAAATTAATTCCTAGAAAGTGGATTGGTGTGTCAGGATTTGCCGATTGCATTCCTTGAGGAGTTATTTCTGTGGGGGGGGTTCTGTTTTCAGTTTCTAAGAACTCAGAAGTT